CAAACGATGTGGACACTTTGGGGTCAGAGGGAGAGGAAGAGGGGGTTCTGGCTATTCAGTAATGTTTGCGGAATGAGTACAGTGAGGGGGGAGGGTAGGGGGCAAATCGGCCCCATCTGGGAGGTCTGGCAGCAGGAGGTAGGACCCCAGCCCCTAGGGAGGTAGAGGCGAGGACAGAGATGTTGGGGACAGAGCGGCTGCTCCTCTCCTAGGGCTGAGGCCCCAGGTGGGGGTGCTGGGGGCGAGAGTGGGGAGATGGGGGGCTCTGCCACCCTGCTAATCAGGCTCACCTGGAGAGCACATGTGGTCAGGTTGCAGACAGGCTCGATGATGCAGAGAATCATCAGCCCCACTGGTGACAATGACAGGCAAATGGGGCAGAAGAAAAAGCAAGGCTGGGAAAGGACACAGCCTGGGCTTCGAATCCTGGCCGGGCCACTTATTGTACGATGAGGTGGACGCAAAGTTTCGCCTCCCTGAGCCTCAGGTTCCCCCCTCTGAAACGTGTGGGCAATAATTCACCTTATCTCGTGGGCTTGTGCTGAGGATCATTCCAGTTTACTCCAAGGCCATTCGTGCTAGCTGGCTTTGGACCATTCCCTTCCCTTTGCTGGGAGTGTCCACGGTTCTCCACCTGGTGAGCTCCTCTGCATCCTTCAAAACCCAGTGCAGCTGTCCTCTGCTTTAATGACATTTACTGCTTGTGCCTGGGACATGCATTCTCCTTCTGTAGTAACAGAATCTTGGCTTTTCCTGGGGAATACTGTCCCTCCCAACTCAGTTCCTGTGGTCCTGGAGGGGCCACGCAGCACCCGCAGGCTCTCTTTAAGTACCTTATGTTAGTCAACATGTGTTTTTTAAAAAAGTCTTTATTTATTTTTGAGAGAAAGAGACAGAGAGAGATAGCACGAGTGGGGGGAGGGGCAGAGAGAGGGGGACAGAGGATCTGAAGTAGGCTCTGCACTGACAGCAGTGAGCCAGGTGCAGGAATTGAATCCATGAACCGTGAGATCATGACCTAAGCGGAAGTGGGACACTCAACCCACTGAGCCACCCAGGCTCATAAAAAATGAGGGAGAATGTAAATATTTATTACCACAGGGAGAGATGCAGCAGGATGTCCTGGGGATAAACCACAGGGATGGATGTGTATGTCGAGGGCTGCCGTGCGGGTCAGAGCCCTGGCGGGAAGCACATTCGTCCTGGGCGGCTCAACCACAGAGTCTTTAACCACAGCACCTCCGGGGCTGCCCCTGGAGGTGACGTGGGGTTAAGGGACCAAACAGGGAAGGCGGGCACCCCAAGAGTGGCAGCACCCGCGGATGGCGGGGCGAGGATGGGGAGCACTGTTCCGGGAGCCCCGTGAGAGCTGGGGCCGTGGAGGGGCCCCCCCGGGGGCTGAGGTCCAGGGAGGGCGCGGGCACTCAGAGGCTGCGGCTCGAGGCAGGGACGGAGCAGGGAAGAGAGACCCTGAGCTCCCTCTCCTCGCACCGCCCAGACTCCTGAGGACCCCTTGCTGGTCTGGGACCCAGAGAGCCCGTCTGCCAGGGACCCCCCTACAGCGCGTGCAGGTGGGCCTCGTCCTGCACAGAGCAGGACAGAGCCCTGGAGAGGAGTCAGGGGCGGGGCCTGGCGGGGAGTGGAATATTCCTGACCGAGTCAACAGTGTGCTTGGGTGCCCCGTAGGGTGTGAGATTCTGTGCATTTTGGTGCTGTGTTTTGCAGTGAGAATGAACCACTTAGAACAGTGGAGCTTTTTTATTCTAAGTGATGAGAAAGAGGAAGTGGGGCCCATGGAGACACCCTGGGATGCCTCTGCTGGGGGCCAGGGTGCGGGGGGTGGGGGGGTGCATCAGGGGAACCTGCCGTCGGGCCCCCCACTGGGAAACGGAGTCTCAAAGGCTCGTGGAGACTGGACAGGTGCAGTCATGCTGCGGTGACAGGTGGGAGGGACCCCTGCGTGGCCTTGAGCAGGTCCCGCTCCTCTGGGCCTCAGTTTCCCCATTCTGTGCAGGGAGCTATGCCTGTGACCTCTAAGGAGTTTTAAGCTCTCATGAGCAGGGGGCCCCTGACGGGTGGGAGGGTGTGGACATTGCCAGGATCTTGGGGTTTTCTTTTGAATGGAGACTAGTGACTGAAATGGTTTAGAAAGAACAGAAGACACATGGCCCCAGAAAGTACTCAGGGCGCTTCTGGGATCACGTGAACCAGATGGTGAAGACTCAGAATCGGCGTGCTTTGGGACAGGCCAGAGCCAAGAGCTGGTGCTGCTGCAGTGGTCTGGGAGGGGAGAGGGAGGCCCCTGGGGCAGCAAGGAGGAGCCTGGGAGCTGGAGGTGATGCAGAGACCAGGACTGGGGCTGAGGCAGAGTCCCCCCTTGCTCTTACTTGGATGCATGATCTCTGAGCCTCAGTTTCCCCAGCTATAAAACAAAGAGCTTGAACAGATAATCCCTGTGGTTCTGTCTAACTTTGTATCCACATTGGGTGGGGAAACTGGCAACAGGTGAAACTCAGGGACAGAGGTTTCCATCATCATCATCATCATCATCATCATCATCACCATCACGACCATCACTATCAGCATTATCACCATCACCATAATCTTCATCACCATCACCATCATCTTCACCACCGTCTTCCCCCCATCATCATCATCATCACCATCATCACCTTCACCACCATCTTCGCTGCCATCATCATTGTCCCCATACCAGGAAAACCCACCTCCTGAGGGCTCCATATACTAATCACAGTGTAAAGAGCTTTGTTTGCTTCTATTCACTAACTACTGTGATCATACCCAGTTTATAGCTAAGGAAACCGAGGCTCAGAGAAACCAGATGGTTTTCCCAAGATAAAGCTACTGGGGAACCAAGCTGGCAGGCCTGGGATTAGGAGGGCCTGACTCCAGAACTCTTGATGTTAATTGTGCATGATGTCTGCTCCTGTTTGTCTGTGTCACTTGAGTCAGGTCTCGGCAGACTCCTACCCACTAACATCTGGGACCACTTCCGAGCCTGTCGTGGTCCAGTGGAAGAAACTGAGGCAGAGAGCAGAAAGGCCATGGCACGCAGCCAAGCCTTCTGCCGCCCCGCCGGTGTGTCCCTTGCCCTCAGCCACGTCCTTCTGCAAGGACAAAATGCCCATTGGTAAGGGACCTTGTTTTTAATGGAATGGATACAGAGCTTTTGGGTAAGTGTGGAACCAGGCAAGGCTCTGTCACATGCAGCTTTTGTGACTGTCCTTGCTCAGCGCAGAGACTGGAGAGCCAGGTAATCCGGTTACACGCGTTGAAAAACTGCTTGATGTTGCTTGATGGTCCCTCTGCGAGGGGACAGATTGTCCTGACATATTGTCGGCGAGGGGTGGGGAGAGAAGAGTGGGAGGTACGGAGAAACAGAGACCGAGGGACAGACTTGCATGGCAGGACGTGGTGAGTATTGAATCAAGCTGCTTTTTGTGGGACTAGAATGTCCGAGAGAATTTTGAAAAAGTGAGCGGCTCCCCGGCAGAGACAGAAGGGCACATGCAGGTGTGGGGCGTGCAGAGCCCAGGGGACTCCTGCAGAGCTTGTGGGTGGGGGACCCCGTGGAGGTGACTGCGTCCAGGTGCAGAACGGCCATGAGTGAGCAGGGCAGACATCTGCCCCTGGGAACCCGCTGCTCACACTACAGTGTGGCCGTGAGCCTCCCAAGGCCGGGTCTGCGCTGACGGGTGACCCAGGTAAAGCAGCCTGGTGCACAGGCAGGTGCTGGGCTGAGGTCACAAGGGCAGCTCTCCTCTCCCCTCCCACTAGAGGGTGTCTGTGCTCGTGTTTCAAGGGTGTGGGGACCCATTCTGTTAGCAGATCACAGTCTGGCCCCTGCCTGCCTTGTGGGTGTGAGGGATAGGGTGTGGGGCTCCCCTCGGCTCTTCCTCCCAGAGACAATCTCTGGGGACCCCTACGCCCCCTTCACACCCACCCAGTGCACACTCGCCTGGTTTGTGCTGGCTCTGAGAGCAGCGAATGGCCAGGTCCCAGAGACGGATGCAGGAGACGGAGAAACAGACACGGAGCAGCGTGATCACGAGCCATCGCGGCACCGCCTGTGTTTCCTGAGCATTTACTGTGTGTCAGGCACCAGGCTCCGTCGTGTTACACGCACGGCAGTCCTGCCCCAGGACTCTGGGTCTGATCAGCCCAGCGTCCCCCCTCCTCCACCGCCGCCCCCCCCCCCAACCCCAGCCACAGACCAGTGCAACCAGCTGCTTTCTCTACCCCTGTGCTGGGCACAGGGCAGCAGCTGCAAAGATTTCGTGTCGGCGAGGCCTGGCACCCCCCGCCAGGACTCAGGTGCCAACCTCAGGTGCCACTGGTGTCCCCCCAGCTCTCCTCTGCCCTTCCCGTGGTCTGCCCCTCTCCCTGACCCTCAAGGGCTATTCCAGATCTCTGCCCCCCTCAAGGTCTGCTTCCAACCCCAGGCCTGTCACTAGCTGCCGGTCCCCTTCACCCCTGCAGGGCCGAGGAGTAGAGGCCACTGGGCGCTCACACCCCTTCCCCTCCTTTCTTATCCTCACCCACCTCAGGAGCCCCTGCTGGGTGGCCAGGCCCTGTACCTTCCACCAGATCTCACTCCCTCCACCCCTGCAGAAGCCCCAGACCACCCCTCTCTCTTCCCATGTCCTCAGCTCCCCCAGCTCACCGCTTCGCTTCCCTGTGTACCAGCCACATAAATCTCCTCCATCCTCGGCCTTTCAGAAGGCCCTTCTCTTCTTATCCACTGGCTGCTGCCTTCTTTCCTTATTGGCAGCCGCTATTTCATTATTTGTATTCATTGATTTATTTTGAGGGGAGGGAGGGGCAGAGAGAGAGAGGAAGCGAGAGAGAGAGAATCCCAAGCAGGCTCTGCACTGTCGGCCCAGAGCCCGACGTGGGGCTCGAATCCACAAATGGGGAGATCATGACCTGAGCCGAAACCAGGAACCAGACGCTTAATAGACTGAGCCACCCAGGCGCCCCAGCCGCCACTATTTAAAGCAATTGTCCTAGGTCTCTTTTTCCACTTTCTTCTTCCCTGTTCCCGCTGCCTGGATAAACCATTCCCCAGGCCCTTCTCGGCTGGCCGGTGCCCACTCTACTCTCCCAGACCCAGCTCAGGTATCATCTCTTTATTGTTTTTATTTGAAGTTTTTTAAGTTTATTAATTTATTTTGAGAGAGAGAGTGAGCATGAGCAGGGGAGAGGCAGAGAGAGAGGGAGCAGGAATCCCGAGCAGGCTCCCATCTGTCAGTTGGGAGCCCAGTGTGGGGCTTGAACCCACGAACAGAGAGAGATCATGACCTGAGCCGAAACCAGGAGTCGGACGCTCAACCGACTGAGCCCCCCAGGCGCCCCGGCAGGTGCCGCTGCTCCTTCGCCACGTCCCCTCTACCCATCCACGGTGTCCTGTGGCAGCGTCGTGGGCTGGCACTGCACCGGGGAGGGAGATGTCCTCTTCTTCTCTGCGTGCTTTCTCCGGCATCGTGGAAGCTTGCTCGTCTGTGGCAGGGACAGCGGCCAAGCGGAGGGGACTGAACACAGCCCGCTGCTGGGAGTGAGGGTCAGCCCCCGCCGCAGGGAGGACGGTCCTCTGGTGTCTCCGCGCAGCTCCTCAGAGGGCCCCGGGGGGACCAAGCCCCGTGGCCACAGAGACAACCGGTCAGCTCCCTTTGTGGCTTTTCTCCTCGCCCTGAGTCACCCACCCTCCGCTCTTCCTCGCTGGGCTCCCTGAATCAGCCCCAGATGAACTACCGGAACCCGAGCTCTTTTCTCGGGGTCTGCCTTGGGGGCACCCACTCCGAGATAGACGCCCGCCCCACCTGACCTCCAAGGTGCTCCCTGCTGTGCTCTCCGGGCCCACCAGGGCCTGCCGTGCCCTCTGAAGACTGTGAGCATTTTGATAAAGTCAGGTTCTTTTATTATCTTTTTAATGTTTATTTGTTTTTGAGAGAGAGAACAAAGGAGGGAGGGGCAGAGAGAGGGGGAGGGAGACACAAAATTTAGAGCAGGCTCCAGGCTCTGAGCTGTCAGCACAAAGCCGAAGTGGGGCTCGAACCCATGAACCATGAGAACATGACCTGAGCTCAAGTCAGAAACTCAACCGACTGAGCCACCCAGGCGCTCCAGGTTCTTGTTATCTCTGCCTTCATGTCACCAAGCACAGTGTCTGGGGAAGATAGATGGTTAGTTAATTAAGGGTTTCTTAAGAGAGGGAGAATTCGAACGAATGAACGAACGAACGAATGAATGAGAAATGAGTCTCACAGCAGTCTGAACCCTCTGGCCCTCCCCAAGCTGACGGGGGACAGCAGGCCGAGACTGTCACAAGGCCCACCCAGTCCTGGAGGCCCTTTGCCCTGCACTGGGCCCTCCTCCACGCCATCGGCACAGCCCAGGGCACCCTCCTGCCGGGAAATCCTCAGAGCCTCCCAGTGAAGGCTCCCCACTCCGGTAACTAAAAGGGAGAGGAGCGCAGTGAAACACCATTATAATCTGACACAATTCCCAGCAGATGTCACTTTACAGGGATGGATGTGTCTCAGCCGGACTTCAGGCCGCATCCAGAAGCCCCCAGAAGAACCATCTATTTGCAGCCGATGAAAAGAGCACGGAGGAGTGATTGTTGCGACAAATCAGTTTATTCGTCTCAAATGGACCCTCGGAGGTTTCCAAGAGGAACAATTAAAATTGTTGCTGCCAGAAGGAAGTGACTGCTTCCAAGCCCAGGTTGGCGAAAATGCTTTTTTTTTTAAGTCTTTGATTCCCGGAGGGGGGTAGGGACCCTCTGAGCACAGAGCGTTCTGAGCCAGAACGCCTGGGGTGCATGAATGCAGTGTGCTTGTCTCACAAATAATCATTTTCCAGGGAGAAAAAGGCTGCACAGGGATGGGGTGACCCAAGTTTTGTTGCGTGTTGGTGGCAGAGCTGGAGCTGGGAATGGGTGTCTGCATGTGGACATCTCTACCTCTTGGTTTTTTCTGAAGGGCGGATGGGGTGGAAATCATGCTGAAAGCCAAGAACCATCCTGGACTAGTCCACGGGGTCTTGCCTGACATTGAGTTAGAAGAGCCTCTGGTTTAGGAATCAGGGAATCCGGAGTCTGGTGCTGGCTCTGCTGCTCCCTTGCTGTGTGACTTTGGGTTGGTCTATTACCCTCTCTGGACTTCAGTTTCATCATTTATAAAATGACATGATGGATCTCTAAGGGGACTTCCAGCTCCAAAAGTCTAGAAGAGTCTCAGTTTCCACCTCTTTTAAGTGGGTATGATGCTCTACCTCCTAGGGTTCTGAGGGGGTTCCAGAAGGAGCCCCTTGGAGCAGCTGCCTGAAGGTAAAGCCCGAACAGTGTTACCATCACTTGCACATCTGTTGCGAGGCGTTGAGGAGGAGGAGCTAGGTCCTGGTGTGAGCACTAGACAGAGTAAAGGACAGAGTGTCACTCCCCTCCAGGAGGGGGAAGGGGCCTCAGGGTGGACTATAGGTCCCTGGGGTGGGTCCCTGAGGCCAGATTCCCCCCCTCACCATTTCCACCTGCGAGACACAGTCTCATCTCTCAGCCTTCAAGTCCAAGGGCCTTGGCAGTGTTGGGCTATGAGCAAGGAGCAATGTGGGGAGGGCAGGTAGGAGGAGGGAGCGGGGGAGGGGGAGAGGAGGGACAGGCTTCTTGTTTTGGTGCAAAACGTCAAAAGCGTGGGCACTAGAAACAGAGACACCTGAGATCAGAGGCGGTCTCCATCACTCACTAGCTGCGTGAGTAGGGCAAGTTCCTCAGTTTTCACATCTGTAAATTGGGACTGACAATGGCGCCCCTCTCGTGGGGCTGACGCTGGCAAGGTGCCCGCACCATACTTAGCCTGGGGAAGCTCCCAGGACTCGGCAGCATCGCAGCAGCAGCAGTGGCAGCAAGGTGGGTAGTGGTGGCTGTCCGTCTGCAAAGGGACGCGTCTTCAGGCTCCAACGTCCGTCCTGCTGACGGAGAGAACAAGAGGGCAAATGCACGTCTTCTTGGAGGGGAAGCAGATGAAGTTGCCCAGGCGGAGAGAGCTCGAGAGAGAGACACAGAGATCCCGGTCACACACAGGGAGTGCAGTTAACGTTGGTAATGTAAGAGCAGGAAAACTTCGCATCTGCCCGACGGCAATTGCAGTAGCGTCGAGAACAGTTACAGATTCACGCGCTATTGGTGACTGTGATCCTTCTACCACAAAGCCAAAGGCAGATCTCATCCCAGCGGTTCAATCAGGAAGCAAGGTCAACCCTGATCAAATGACTGTCACACGTATAAACACTGGGTGTAAATGATAGTGAGACAGGAGAGGGGGTGACAGGCCACTGACCGTGTGCGGCCACCCTGGGCATTGGCCGGGGTCAGCATTCAATGTCAAATGAGGGGGGGCAGGAGTTACAGCAGCCCCCGCACCCCACCGGAGGCAGGTGCGGCCCAGCTGTCTGACGCAGAGGCTCTGACCACTCTTCAGAGTTGGCCCAGGAGACTGGGGGTCAGGGCAGCCGGGAATGAGGCATATAGACAGCTCGGGCAAGGGGACCTTCATGGAGTCCTGATGGATTGGCAAGTAATAGAACCAGGGACTGTGTCTGTGAGGCCAGAAAGCAAAAAAATGAAAAAAAACAACAACATATTTCCAGAGTAACTACCTTTAGATCATGAAATGTCCTGGCTGGAAAAGCCGCTAGGGGTCACGTGGTATAGCATCCTTATTTTATTGTTTGTTTATTTTAGAGAGAGAGAGAGAGAGGGCAGGAGAGGTACAGAAGAGAGGAAGACGGAGGATCCGAAGCAGGCTCTATGCTGACAGCAGAAAGCCCAATACGGGGCTCAAACTCACAAACTGCGACATCATGACCTGAGCTGAAGTCAGACGCTCAATTGACTGAGCCACCCAGGCACCCCTCATTTTAACGGTGAGAAACTGACACTGGAGGGAGCGACTTGCTCCAGGTGAAGGGGGGATCTGATGGTCTCCGAGAGGGACGAGGATCTAGATTCCTGACTCCCCACCACTGGCTCTTCAGCTCAGGTGCTGTCTGAGGCTTCTGGAACAGACAACGGGACCTCAGCTCCTAGTTTTGTGTGGTTCTGGCCACTGCCTCCCTCACCAAGAGCATCAGCCAGGGTTCCCAGGGCAACTGTGAAATGCCCATTGCCATGGCAGCCTTGGCTACTCCCACTTAGTTACGCTGGGGCCTGGACCCAGTTCCTTCCTTTGTGAACCAAGAGTGGAGGCTTTAATAGTCCATTCCCAGGGAAGGGCAGAGATCAGAGCTAATGGCCCGCGGGCTCTGATAAAGAGGAAAGGGAACTACATATACTGAGTTCTGTGCCAGGTGATACGGTGGATGGTGTTCTCATGTTATTAACGTGTGAGGACGCCCACTTCACTTATGAAAAAACAGATTCAGAGAAGCTGGGCCACTTGCCTGAGACCACACAGCTCCTCTGTGCAGAGAGCGCACACACTTTTCCACCGCTTCCCTTCCCTGAAAAGCTGGCCTGCGGTCTGGCTGCAGAAGAGGCACACCCTGCTCTTCGGGGCTCAGGGACCCTGTCTCTCCTACCTCTGTGTCGCAAGGCCACCGAGTGTGTGGCAGGACCCCACCAAGAAGAGCCCACCCTCACAAGCCTGTATTCTTCCCCGGAATTCTGGTTCTGCTGGGTGGGAAGATCCTTCTAGAAACTAAATCCTGCCCCAGGTCCAGCATCATCAAAACAGTCAAGGGACACAGGAGATAGGGATGAGAGGTACCTTTTCCCCGTGCGCTCTCTTAGGTCTGGGGCTCAGCATTGATTTGACTACTTCTTGGTCTTTTGGCAAGTTACCCAACCTCAGACCTCTCTGACCCTCCTTGAAGTCAGGTTGTGTAAGACAGACCGCGGCCCCGGCAAATCCTAGCCCCCAACCGGCTTCTGAAACCTTTCTCACTCCTCCTCCCCCACCCATTCCCCCAGAAATCTCAGAATCTGTAATACGAGCGAACGCGGCCCACGCTCTGGACGTAGGTTCTGATCCGAGCTGGCCCAGTAGCCCCATCCTGGGATTTTGGAGGTGGGTGTGAAAAGGTTCAGAGCCTCGTCTGTCTTTTGTATGCCTGGGGGCCAAGGGCGGCCCTGTTCTGCCGTGTGGGCCGAGGCTCAGAGAGCGCTTAGCTGGGGGAGAAAGCAAGAAAAGCCAAAGCTTCTCGGAGAGAAACAGTGACGTGGGCAAGGAGAGCATTCTCTGGGTTTGCCTCTCGGCCAGCCCCCCGCTGCCCAGTTCCACCTCGACAAATCCACGTTTTTGTTTAGGTTAGCCAGAGCAGGCTGCTGCTCCTCAAGACCAGAAAGGCCGAATATAATAAGAATAAACGTTCTTTGTAAAATGTAAGAACGAAAGCGGTCCCAAGCAGGGCCGGCGCTGCCTTTTGCCCACCCGCGACCGAAACCACAGCGGAATGGGTCAGGCCCGCACGCTCTTTGCTGTGGCTCCTCCTGCTTTTCATATTACTTCTAATGAGAACACCCGCCCGCCTCTGAAAACTCCCTGCTTAACCTCTGATGGTACTCGGATGCGGCTTCCTCCGGGAAGTCTTTCAGGATGGCCCTGGCAGAGCTAATGCCTGTGTCCCACCCATGAGTGCACCACATGACCGAAGTCCTTCAGACACTTGACCTGGAGGCTCTGAGCTCAGGGTAGAGAGCACCTTGGCTGCCATAGACCCTAGCGCAGTGGAGGATGAAAACAGTGGTGCTGCCCTGGCTGTGACACTCTGTGGGCCCGTCCCACTCCCTGGTGTGCGGCCCTATACTCTGGGCCTCTGCCTCAGGGTCCCCAGAAGTCCCCAGCTCCTGAATGCTTGGGTCCTGAGCCCCTGGGCCAAGCACTTAAGACAAACCTCACCCATGCTGGATTCCTCTCTCCCTCCCTTCTTTTCTCCCTCCTCTTCCTTCTCCCTCCCCTTCCTCCCTCCCAAACCTCACCCATGCTGGATTCCTCTCTCCCTCCCTTCCTCTCTCCCTCCCTTCCTCTCTCCCTCCCTTCCCCTGCCCACTCATGCTCAGGTCCTACTCTGTGAGCCCTCGCCTCCTGTCCTCCACCTCCCTGCAGCCAAGAATCTGAACTGAGGCCAAGGCAGACAATTTCCCCAGGCTCAGCTGTGTATTCCCCAGCTTCTGTTCCCTCCAAATCAACTCCCCTTGTGCCCTGAACATGGCCTAGAACATGGTCTGGCTGCCGGCGACCCTGTACACGCGTAAGTGAAAGAAGGAAGGCATGGGGGTGCGGGGTGAATGTCCCTGAATGGGTCTTCCCGGCATTTTCAGCTCCCCTGAGGCCACTTAACCCCCACTCTAGTCCCCCCCCCCCACCCCCCGTCCACACTATTGGCTCCTGCCAGTCTAGACAGGGGCCGGCCCCTCTCGAATCCCCCATCCTCACCTCCTGCATCTCCCTCTCCTGGCAGTTCCCGGAGTCTGTCCCATCAGGCTTGACCACCAGCGCCTTCTTCCTGGAATGCTTCTCCTTTCCTGCCCCTCCCCTCGCTCTCCAAGGTGCAGAGGGAGGCGCTTTCACAGCACAAATCTGAGGCCTGACAACCCAGCTTACACTTCTCCCATGGCCTATACTGCCCTCGGATCAGCCACCAGGCTTTGGGACAGCTCACGATCCAACCTGACCGGCTCCTTGTAGGTTTTCAGTCTCTTCCTGGGCTGCCCCAAGCTCCTCTCTGCC